TTTTCCTTGTATACTTGTTTAGATATTTGAAAGCAGTTACTGGGTCTCATCCATATTTGTATCAGTTGTCACTCGTGTGACTTTGTTTTGTGTTCCTTTGCCATTCAGGTTGTATTCTTTGGCATACTCCAGTTTATCTATATTCCTTTTAAAATAACCTTTTTAGAACTGAACCTAAAACTCCAGATATGGTGTAACCAATATAAAGTAGGTTAGGACTGTTAACATATGTCCTAGGTTTAATTATAACTCTTACGTTATTTGCAGGACTCTGAAGATGTTTGTTGTGTTAGGTATCTAAAGTAATTTAACCAATAAGGGAGGATTTTTGCAGCTGCCTTGAAACTTGGGGTTAATCTTACTTCTGGATCAAAGCACAAATGTTTTTCTTACACACCCTGACTCTCTTCATCACAGCACATTACCTGACAAAGAGATGGGTGGATTCTGCTCTTATTGAAGCACTTTTTTCACATTTGTTCAGTTGTCAGGACAACCCTTAGCCAAGTTCCTAAAAGCTGCGATTGTAAACTTTGCCTTTTTTTAGGTACAAGATAGTCACTAGATATGTGCTAGGCTCAGGGTTTGATACAGGGATTGTGAAGAGCACAGGACTCTGCCTTTGGGAAACCGCGTGGAGTGTGCCTGCCCTTGGTGTGTGTGAAACTGGAGCGGGCCAGCTCCCCAGAGGAATCCTAGTGAGCCTCTTCCAAACCTTCCTATCTGTTTTATTTCACTCGAATGTAGGAACTCTCTAGAGCAGCACTGTCCAATGGAAATATACTGTGAGCTACATCTGTAATTTGAAATTTTCGAGTAGCTACATTAGAGGAGTAAGTACCCAGAAGAAGTGATGTGGGCATTCCATGCCCTGCACAGTCTGGCAATATCCAGTCATATTATTGTGCATACTAGGGAGAGTGGTCTGGGAAGTGAGGTCTGTCACCTTGGGGATGTAGACTAGCACACAGTGGCTAAAGCATGGCCCTGGAGCCTATTGCTTGAGTTTGAATTCTGGTTCTACTGCTTGTTTCCTGTGTGACCTTGGCAAGTTAGTTATTCAGCCTCACTGTGTCTCAGAGGGGATATTTCATAGTGTGGTTATAAAGATTAAGTAAGTTAATAGTGCTAAAGGGCTTAGAACACTGATTGGGTCATAGCAAAAGTGAAACGTAGGAAAGCAGTGTTTGCTGCCACTCTTGTTGTGGGGAGCAGAGATGTTCATTCTGAAAAGACTTGAGGGAATGCTTTGGTTCTTTTAAAGGGCTTTCATGTGGAGGAAGGATTTACTCTTTGTGATTCCAGATGGCATATCTGGAATTAACATGCAGGAGGTAGAAGAAGTCATTTTATAATAGAGCTGTTCAGAAATGTAACAGAGGGTCTCATGAAGTAGTGAGTTCAGGATCACTCGGAGTGACGCTAAAAGACTGATTGGCCGTTTGAATAAATTAGTCGAGCAAGGAGCTGTACTCCATTCTGTGTTTCTAATAAAGCCATTTTTGTTTAATCTCCATAGTCTTACGGTTTTTCCCTCTTGGCGTCATTGATTTATTTCACCTTCTATGAGGAATCTAGAAATACTGAAGTTTGTTCAGGGGAGGCAGTCCTTTATTGTGTGAAGTAACATATTTTGAAGTATACCATTTCCATAAATAATGTTGTCATAGATCTTAGGTTCTTTTTTTGCTTCTAAAAATACGGTTATGGAGGAATTTCCTGTTAAAAAGCATTGTTCGTTTTTCCTGGCTTTGTGCTGTCTGTCTGTCTTCTCTAGCAGCAGTCTTTCCTGCCTGTTCACTAAAGGTTAGGCCATGTATATAAATTGAGAAGCATACCTAATTTAGCATATTCATTGAGAGAAGTTCAGCATTCAGTGTGA